TAAAAGACAGACATGAGAAAAGAAAAAACTCTTCCAAACTCCTAACAAAATAAAAATCGCTGCCATCATATAATAAGCAACCTATTTGAAATCAAAACATACAGCCATGATGACGGTTGACGATGAACGAAAGTGCTCGGCAAAACACCATTGATTAGGGTCTTATTTCAACAACTTGGAGCCAAATATTAAAAAAAATCTTGCGAGAAAGCAGGAAAAACAAAAAGTTCCGTAGTCTTTAACAACGCATGTCTATATATATATATATATATATATATATATATATATATATATATATATATGGTGAAGGAGAGAGGACGAACGTTCTTGAAAAATTCACATTATTAATTTTAGATTCAAAAGAATTTTATTGGCATCAATGTGTTCGTATTGAATTAGCATTTGGAAATCAGATGTTTTCATTGATGCATTTCTGAAGGCGTTCTTGGAAAATTGGCCTCCACTCTTTCCAGTATTGCGTCACTTTTGGGTTGTGCAGTTCTCTCAGATTTTCAAAAGTCCAATAACGACAATTCTGTTGATTCAACATGCCTTTGAGATGAAAATGAGCTTCATCACTCATTAACAAAATGAGGTTATCATTTGTCTCAGAAATTGCTTCCATCTGACGTGCGAAATTAAGCCGCTGTGCATAGTGCTCTGGTCGCAATTGTTACCCAATGACCAATTTGTAGAGGTGGAAATGCAGATCTTCATGCAAAATACGCCTTACCGAACGATTATCGATGCCAAGTTCAGTAGCATGTCTCCGAGCAGATAGATTCGGACGGCGCAGAAAAAATTGTCTGACGCGTTGCATATCTTCTGGAGTACGTGCCGTTTGTGGAGGCCCCCAACGGTCTGTTATTCATTAGTGTACCTGGTGTACGAAATGCATGACCCCAGCTTAAGATTGTGTTACAAGTGGCAACAGCCTGATTTTGGTGAATATTGAATCTGCGACGAAACTTATACTGAACTCCTGTGAGTGACTCCGTTAATCTTCACGAAATTGTCGTTGGCGAACACGCGGTGCTCCATCGTCCACAGCGCCATGGCTTCAATTGAAAAGACAAAAAAATTATAAGACATCACCGACCGAATGGTACCTGTTGGGCATATGTCCCTCCCCCTGGAGCTGAGTAATAGCCATCTCAAAAACGTCCGTCCTCTCTGCCTCACCATATATATATATATATATATATATATATATATATATATATATATATATAATAGATAGGTTAGTTAATAAAACGAGGACAAACGAAAGGGTACCAATATAATCAGTACGATAAACATTTATTAAATATTGATTATTAATCATATGACAGAAATGAAGCACGGAGAGAAAGGTTTTAATTTCGGAATTAACGGATGCGCCTGTGACCTTCATCATCGGACCGGGGAATAAACAGGGAAATCGGAATTGGGAATTACACACAGACAGATGTTATTTAGACGGTGTATATTCCGGTGGAAATCATATTATTAGCAAAAATCCGATCTCTGATTCCTCGTGTGCCAAACTTTTTTATATATATATATAATTATATATATATATATATATATATATATATATATATATAAAGTGAACATTGAAGTCAACACTCAGAGGTGACAGGCTGTTTCATGATGGACGCAATCGTCAGGCCACCTGTCGCCTCCGAGTGTTGGCTTCAATGTTCACTTTTATATTTATATTTACATACGCTCTAACTCTGATATTGAGCACTTTATCCCATAAATATAGCACGCCTTAAAACTATATATATATATATATATATATATATATATATATATATATATATTGTCAACTGAGAACGTGTGTGCACTTTTTTATTTTTTAAACAGTACGAAAAAAATCAATCATCACCATAGATCGGTGGATGATCATATTCGATTTCTCATAGATTGTTTCAACAAGAAATAACGAACAAATCTTCGTAATATGTATTTTTCTGATGCAGTGCAAACGTCTGATTTTATCGATTGTCATCAACCAAATTGCAAGCATCTGATACGCGTGAAGCAGATTAAATTAACACTAATCCCCAGTTGGTCATCACTAATGCATACTTGTCGTTTACGAGAAACGTCCCTCAAGTTGCAAATTAGAGTTTGAAAACTTTCTTAGTCACTTTTATAAAGTTGTGTCACTGATTTTACATTCGCTAAAAGATGTACATAGAAAGGTTCTGCTGCTTTTGTCACATATTTGAACCCGTACAGAAAACAAGGTCTAATAATTAACTTTTCGCATGTTGTGTCTCGCTACTATTGTAGGTATAATCTTTTGAAAGTTATCTGACAGTAAATGTAGGTTTCGTGTTGCTGGAAATGTTTACAGACAACAGCTATTGGAATCGTTTTCGGCATGCAAGAAGAGACCTGAGTTCAAATCTCAGCTGGTCTTTGCCCAATATTCCTAATACTACATTGTCTACTCACTGCCATAGATGGATGGCTTCAGTGAAGTTGGGATAAAACACAACAAAAGGTTAAGATGAAAGCAAATGCTAATTTATAATAATTTTTGCCCTTGAGTTGAAGGTCATATTTACTGCGTGTGAAATGAACCGCCCTTTAGGGATACAACAAGGAAGCCATTTAAATTTTGACAGAGAATTAACGGGCTTGACATTTTCAACTGGTTTAAGACCTATTCAGCAATTGTCTTTTGTATGTCTATTTCCCACAGATATGTCAAATGACACTCTGTCTTTCTCGATCTCTTTCTTTCTCTATCTCCCACTTTCCCTCTCTTTTGCCCTCTCTGTTTCTCCTTCATTCTCTATATATCTCCCTCTCTCTTTCTCCCTCATCGAGTTATTGTTGTGAAAACAGGCACAGTGTTATAATAAAGCCGCATATCAAATAAAGATCACGTGGTCAAATCGTTTTAGAATTGAAACATCATTAAAAGCACTTGATTCAAAAGCAATTGATCTCAAACCTTTTTCTTTGACTAATGTTCACCTTGTACAAGGCTTAAGAGCCAATCAAGATAGAGGTTTACTGAAAGAGGTTATATAAGCGGTAAGAATAAGGGGTAAGAAGGGCAGTTTATATAGAGGTGTAGAAAGATAACGGTTAATCTGATACTTTAAGAGGTTAAAATTGTACTTGTCGGGAAAGCATCTTCTTGGGAGTCGTTCCATAAAATAGTGGTTCGCGAGAAGAAGTTGTTCAAGTAGAACTTCGTCCTTACTAATGGAATGCGGGAGGAATGACGGTAGTTCGACCCAGTGTATTTATATTGTACATTTGGGTAGCAGTCTTTCTTTGATACAAGTTTCATTGAATGTGAGAAACTAAGAAAGTCTTTAAGTTTTTCTAAATGTAAGTCTCAGCGCCGAGTAAAAATTATAGAGGCACTTTATATACAACAATTCAAGCTAAGCATTAACTTTATTTGACAATAGCGGCAATGTATTAGGAGTCTTCTAAAAAAACATACCAACATCGTCGCATAGTCATGGTCGCGTCCTCTCACACAGTCTAAGATTACTACTACTACTATTAGACAATACGCCTTAGAACAAAAACATTAACCTTTTTTTATCAACGAATCACTTGCACTATCTTAAAAAACTGTAAGAACATTAGAAAAGTTAAGAAACTTATAAGATATTCACTGTTTGTCACGTTCAATGAAACCCGCCTATATATATATATATATATATATATATAGATAGATAGATAGATAGATAGATAGATAGATAGATAGATAGATGGGAGAGAGAGAGAGAGAGATTAGCTAAATTTTTAATCTGAAATGTTTGTATAATCTTGTCTGTCTCCCGGACATGATCCCCGGCCCAAATCGATCGAACCAATACGTGTTATGCCATCAAAATATAGATTTTGTAATTCTTGTATGTGGAGGCAGACCCAGACATTGTCTCAGACATCATTTCTTTTCTTTCTCAAGCGAAACACTGACTCACAAAAATCTTGTGTCTTGAACGTCAATCACCAGTATTTTGCGGTCAATCACCGATCTTGTCTACATATGTCTCTCACCATTTGCTACTTAACCCTCAAACGACCTGGAGAAAACATGAGATGATTCACAATCCGTTCTGACAGCGGCCATTTTGTTAGTGGGTGCTCCTCATTATTTATGCTTCGCTGTCATTTTCAACAGTAACAACGCGTCTTCCAACCTAATGTTTCCGACAACGTCTGCTTTTGTCATTTCAAAACAACTACCGTTTGAAATCCAAAAGATCTGTTCACCTTGCAGATCTCTGCGATGCATAGAGTGAAATTTGTGTCTACACTCTAATAACATAAACTTGCATGAATATACACGTTTAAATTATTTCGTTTACATACTTGTATTTAAAATTGTATTTTTTTTTTAATCATTTCACCCCAAGCAAGGGGGAATCCCATTAGTACGCTGAGAGTTACAGAAAGAAAGATGAAAGAAAAGATTGGGCATAGGGGTAGAGAGGAAAGGATAAAAGTTGAACAGAGTTCAAGAAGATAGAAGATGGCGATTGACGTTGCATTTAAATTTTTGAAGATTGTAGTTATCAGTGAAGCAAGGAAGCGGAAGGTAGTTCCACAGACGGGAAGTGCAAGAAAAGAAATTGTTGCAGTAGAATTGGCAGTTATATTTAACTATTTCAACAGGAAAAGGATGTGACCTAGATGCCAGTTTAGATGCGCGCTTAAATTCACGTAGACCTGGCAGCAGGGAAAAATTTCATCAGATCAGTTTCCATGAAAATATCTCTAGAAAAGACAGAGGGAAGTCACGTCACGTCGGTGAGAAAGAGACGGAAGTTAAGATGCCATGTCAGGACCGATTACATTGCAGATCCTTCTTTGGATTTTGCCAAGTACCTCGAGATGAGTAGCAGGAGCACCAGACCAGATATGGCAACAGTATGCAATGCACAGACAAATGATAGATTTGTAAATGTGCAAGATGGACGTCTGAAAAAATATGACAGAATTTCAGTCTCTATTTACTCTCTAATTGACAAAATCCAGTATGATGACCGAAGTTAAGCAATGTCACGCTTGGTCAGTACCTAGATGGGTGACCGCTTGGGAATACCAAGTGCTGTAAGTTTGAATGTGCGGGTGGTTTAATGGATAATGGCTTGGAATTGTTAACTGGAGAGCCAAGTTCCAATTCCAGTTGTTATATTCATCTATGTGCAAATACCTTTAGGAAGAGAATGAATTCACCTCTTCTTCCCCCTAGCTATGGGTTAATTACTAAAATTTGCATCAGTAAATCATTATTATTTCCTCCACTCCCCTACAAAAAAAATCTTGCAATCTAAAAATATTTTTTGACTTTAAATAACCTGTAAGGGGTTGATAAACCGTAGAAAACGAATCAGTCAATCAATAATGAACAAAATTGACTTTTTTCCCGCATATTAGGAAAATTATGTCCATCATTAGAATAGGGTTTCCCAAACCTCTCTTTGACGCAGAGATCTTGAATAGGATAAAAGTTTTACGCAATGCCCTAGCAGATGAATTCTTAAAAATACACATACAAAAAAAAATAAATTTATTTTTAACACTTACTATTTACGCAGTTTATTTATCCTTTTTTTTTGGCACGTCATGTTTTGTGATTCAAATTTTTATTTTGTGTTTAAAAATACTGTTCTTTCTTCATTTTTGTGCATGATTATTATTATGGTATAAAACAAATAACAGAAAGATTACGGAGACCCAGGGCCTCCGTAGGGCCTAATTTTGGAAACCCTACGATAGCGCACATGACATAAGGTGATTTGATATTTCGTCAGTTAGTGGGCATGTTGAAATATATAGTGAATATGAATATGTGAACGACTGTGTGGGTCTGCGACAAGGAATCAATATTTGTGCGCGATATTTGTATCGGGCGCGTGTCCGAGAACGATAACTAGCAAATTATTGCAAATGTAGTGCGTTCGATCCTGATTGGAGTCTCGGCTCGTTGAACCCTAACCGACGAACATTGAGAATATCCCTGAACAGATTGCTCGACAAATAAGAATGCTCTAAGAATAAGAAGTACGAAAAAACGGCTATGAACAGCCAGAAAGTGATAGCTAAAGTCCTTGAGAAACATAATAAGGAAATAAGGCTTGTAGAATTCAACCCTCACAGCATATATCGATGACAAGAGAAGAGGAGAAAGCAGCGAACAATCTCCGTGATAAGTTTCTACCTGAAAATAACACAGTAATAAAATGGCGTCGTAATAGTGCAACGACTGGGGAGCGCCATCATCTCCTAAGATGTGAAAAACATGTACATAGGCACAAACACTAATTTAATTCTTACAAGACATCGAAGGCAAGAGAAACAGGTTAACATTAGAAACGAAGAAAAGAGTAATGAACTTTTGTGATGACTATATTCTCATAAGGCAATGGAAGTAGGATGATTTTATCGTAAATGAAAACGACTTAAAGAGACGGATATTTTACGGATAAATTTTAAGACTACCAAGGAAAAAGCATATTTCAGATGACATATAACGAGGAAAAATGGTTTGGGGAATTTGACACTCACAGAAACACCGATGACAAGAGAAGCAGTGAAAAGCAGCGGGTAACGTACTTGACGGATTTGTACAAAGGCATAGAAGAACCAGAAGCACAAAAAACAGAAAGCTGTGGAGAGTCATAACCACCAAAGTCCTGAAGAGATATGGTACATAGAATGGCAGAGAGAGCCTACTTGACAGGTTTTTATAAAACGATAGAGGAACAAGTACCCCCAAAAAGAATCTGTGGAGAGCCATAATCACCAAAGTCCTGAAGGGATATGGTGCACAGAAAGATAGATGCAACTTTCTTAACAACTTTGTACAAAAGAATAAAAGAATTTGTATAAAAAAGGTCAGTCAGTTATGTGCCATGCGTGATACACGGTTAGGCGATCATGCATCTTTCGATACATGACTGACGAGGCAGAATTTTTCCCGCAGTACGTTGCCATTTTTTCTGCGGTAGACAAGTTGCCATCCAAGGCTATAGAACACAGTCTGTCCTGTTATTTACCCATAGCTGGGGGAGAACAAGAGGATTCATACCTTTCCGAAGGGTATTAGCACGTAAGTGAATGTAATGGATTTGACTGGAATTCGAACTCGGCTCTCCGATTGCTCAATTTAGCTATATTATGATGTAACATGTTATACAGTGCAATAGTTTTAGTGCGATTTTCAATAAACAATGCAAATTTAAAACATTTTATCTAATAATTTGTATCCATCCGTATTATGGTGTTATATACACTTATCTATTTTTTGTCTTTATTAATTACTCACTTAAAAGCCGCCAAATCGGGCAGCATTTAAGCTAGCTCCTACGAGGAAATCTTGGTTGTAACTTCATCACAATATGGAGGGAAGAGTAGATGCGATTGGCAACAATAAACTACAGAAGAACTCAAAATTGATCGCTACATTAAAGTATTGTATTTAAGCTTTAAAAGTTCAATGATAATTCTTCTGCCGCCCCTTAATTTAAAGACGATTTGCATTGTTTCCAGAAGTTTAGGTCAGAAGATCTGTCCCTTCGTGATGACCCCCCCCTAGTAGCCGGCCATAGTTCCTGGATAATAAAACCCTGAAGGTGAAGGAGGACAACAACGAAATCTGTGGCGAGATTACCGGACTTCAACTACACCGCATAGGGAAGGCGTACAAGTTGAGCAAGTGGCTACCCCACATATTGTAGTGATTTTCTAAGCCCGGCTTAGATGTGGCACAAGGCCGAAAGTATGGGGTACCCAGTGAGGATCGAACTCACTACTCAGTCGTAATTGATCTATCAAGACAAGCTTTCTAAACATTACACCATGCCGAGGTGCCCTTAGCCCACACATAGTAGGAAGCCAACACGCAACAACGAGAGATAACCTGTTTCTTGTTGATTTCTCGGCACCGCAACGTGCCCATCGCGGATCTTTACTCGCAGTAGTTTGAATAGGCACTGAAGCAGAAGGGGTCAGCATTGGTTTATCGCCAGGCCTTACTTTGAAGACTAACGGTATGTCTTCTTTTTTTACTTGCATTATTAAAATTACTCGGATTGTTATTCTCATCAATGTGGTCTCATAGTTTTTTCTGTATATTTCGATTGCCATCCTCTCCAGTTTCGTGATGTTTGATTTCGGTGAGTTAGCTTTCGTAGTCTAATCTACGTGCCGTTTCTGTTCAGGATACGGACGGTTATGGTTTTCTACGGCCTTCTAGTTGTCCTTTGTGGTGTAACGGGTATCGGCTCGGAATGAGAAATCGGAGAGCTGAGTTCGAATTCCAGTCGGGTCCGTTACATTCACTTAAGCGCAAATACCCTCGGGAAAGGTAAGAATCCATTGCACTCACAGAACAGACTGGGTTCTATAGCCTTGGTTGGCAACCAGTCTACCTCAGAAAGAAATGAAACACTGTGGGAAAATATTCTGCCTAGTCAGACATGAATCAAAAGAGACATGATCGCCTAAGCCTGTATGGCACTTAACTGAATGCTTTCCCTCTATTGTTAATCTCATGTTTTCCTTCATGACTTCACTACTTTGGAGGCACGGTGGAGTAATTGAATAGAGGCTCGGATTGACTAAGCCCAAATAAATGTTTACTTATCTAATGGACAACATTTTTATAGTGTCTTTCCTCACTTCCAATTCATCTGACATCAGCATTGAGAAAGGAATATTTTTTGGAAGAAAAGGCGAAAGCATTGTCCTGTAAATCTTTTAATGCCACATTCTATATTTTGGTCAACTATTGCGTTATACTCTTGGATTTTGTTGGAGATATGCAGATATGAAACCAAATTATAAATTTTATAAGACTGTGTCCTGATCACCGGAATTAAATTCCAACGTTCCGATTTTGAAGCTAAACTTAATCTTTAAATTCATTTCCTCAAAAAACACTAACGATAGAGAAAAATATTTTCAGTTATTATTTATCAAGTTAAACCATAAATTTTAAATTGAGTGCAATACCACAGTTCCAAAATCGATTTACCCTAGTGTGTGTGTGTGTGTGTGTGTGTGTGTGTGTGTGTGTGTGTGTGTTCATGGTCCCTTCCACTGGAGATGAACTGCTCTGTGTTTTTCAATCGTCATAATTCTTCTTAAATTAAGGATTTTTTTTTCACAACAAATCAGCTTTTTTTTTCTTTTCCCTAGTGGTGCACGGCCTCGCCCCTCCGCCATTGCTGAGCATTCAGTTTGATGACTTGAAGTAAGTATTTATTTATCTATTTTGCAAAGTAGCATATTTTAGCCCTCTGTGAATGTTATCGGATACTTATACTTCAACTTCTACATCCGGACTCTACTCAGCATCACGCAGAGTTCGGTAGCGTTCAGAATCTGAGAAATAAAAAATAAAAAAATAAAAATGCTATCTTTAATTCACTTGTGCATCTGGAATTTTTCCGTTAAGATTAATACTAATTTTTTGTCTGTCACAGCAAAGGCTCAATGGTCCGGATAAAATTAGCCCAGAGCTATCTCTAATTTTGGCAAATCAGTTTAGCCGCTGCCTGAAGAACTGTTTCTCATCTCAATGGAAGGTGTCTGTCCTGTCTTCAAGAATGACAGGGAGCACATTCCCGACCCAATATTGACCTATCAGCCTCATTAGTTTCATCAGCAAACTCTTTAAGGCTATTATCAACAAGAAGATTGTTGACCACTTCAACATAAACAACTTTCTGAGCGATAAACAGTATATATTTCGTTCTTCTAGGTTTACTGCTGATATCCTGACTGTGATATGACATAGAATCAGTGAGGCACCCGATAATAAATTCATCACGCAAACGATCACCTTAGATAACTCAAAAGCTTTTGACAAGGTGTGACATAGGGAGTTGCTATAAAGACGCTTCAGCTACGCAATCTCTGGAAGAGTCCCAGACAGCTATCAATTTTTATTCTATCAGGAAGTCCTTGAAGGGCGTTGTCGGTAACTAGTCCTATTAGATCAATGCATGTGTCCCACAATGCTCACTACTTCTACCCTCTTTTTATTTTATATTAACGATCTGCCTGAGAGCAGTCTCAGATCCTTAGTAAATGCCCCTGCAGATGATA